CTTACATAGGAAGGGGCTAAAGCCCTGGCTCTCCTCACCGTCTCAGTAGCCTGGGCCCTTCAGTGACTGGGGAACCCATCCATCACCTAGGCTTCATTCCACCTCTAGGGAGAATCTTGTTAACCACAGAGATGTTTGGGAATGTTCATGGCACTGGAAAGAGAAAAATCAAGGTCAGGCCAGGAAGTAAAAAGAACAGAGTGTGGTCTCCAGCAGGTGCCGTGTGGATGGTATGATCAGGTAGGAACCTCCCTGTAGGTTAAGTGTGGTCCCCTTTCTATATGAGGAGGCTGAGACCTCTAAGGTCACATGGTCACACGGTCCCCACTGGAGCAGAACCTTCAGGGAAGACATAGCGAGTGGTCACACTGAACAGTGGATACAACTGCTCCTTCTGGCCCAGCCTAGGTCTGCTATTTGAAGAGGGGGCCCTGGGGTACCATAATCAGGGGAGGCTGGTTGACCATCGCTGGAGAGACAGAGACACCTCCGGCCTGTGTTTTCTACAGGGTCCTTCTCCCAGTGGCTCCATCTGAGTCCTTCAGTCTGGGTCCAAACCCTTTTCATCTGCCTCTCTTACCCACAGCCTTTCAAGTGTGTCCCTTGACACAATGTCCTCCACTCTGCTCTCTGGGCTCGTGACATTTAGCAATCAGAGTAAATACCATTGGCACCATGGAAAGGCCCAGAGGGATGGAGTGGTTTCCTGAGGGCCCAATGGTAGATGCCATCAGGCTGGACCTGGAACTCTGTAGACATATTGCAGCATCCTCATACTGACAAAGGACCCTCGTCTCTTAGTGCTATGTGCATCATAGTCTAGAAAAACATTTATAACATGCCAGGACCTGAGGTCTCCTCTGTGGTAGTAATTGCCCCATGCTGATAGAATCCTGGCTCTGCAGAGACACCTTCCCCCAGCCAGCCTTTCCTGTCTCCCTCCAGAGAGAGGCTCCTGGGCAGAGCGTGGTCTTGGCCGCTCAACCCTGTAGGCGTGGGAATAGACCCGTGAATTTTCCCTCAAGAGCTCTGAGGTGTTCAGTGCCTGGCTGCAGGTCAGCCCTGGCACTCGGGAAAGTGAACCAGTGTGCCTGGTGAATTCAGAACTCATAAAAATATGGGACCCCGAGACAACTTATGAGGTGCCAGAAACCAGAGGGAGCAGCACCGAGGGCCTGAGGCCACCTGGAAGCTTAAACAGGAGCCTGGGTCTGGATTGTCCCCAAGATGGAGCCAATTTATAAGGATGGATTTGAACCCAGGCAGCATTTGGTGAGAGAACTATAGTCAGGAGCATTTGGATGGCTTGGAATCTTTAAATAGCTGAACGGGAGCTTCAGGGGCTGATGGGAACCCCTGGGAGAAAGCCCAGGAAACCCAGGACTTCTTGAGAGCCCTCTTTGGTCCTACATGTTGCTCCAATTAGCAGTAGTAGCTGGTGGAAGTTGCATCAGGCAGAACTGTGGGCCTCAGGAGGGCTGTTCTGGCTGTCACTCACCTCTCCTCGATTTCTCTTTCGGAGGCCAATTGGACTGCTTTGCTTTGTTGAGGGGTTCTCCAAGGCCTGGGGTACTGCTTGGAAGGAGATCCCCATGTCCGTGAGAAGCCATGTGAGGAGATGGGTAAAATGCATGCTTCTGGCCTCGACCTGAGATGTGTAGATGTAGGGACCCCAGGGAGTACCAGGTGGGGGCTTCTCTGGAGTTCCATTAAGCACTGCCTCAACCTTATGCCTCTGCAGATCCAGGGAGGCCCCTTTAAGAAGCCCCAGTGCTTAGGGTCAGCCAACCTGCCTTAGGGTCTCGGGAGCCTCTGAGGAGCATCGGAGACCGTGGGTGTGAACAGAACACATGGACAGCACCACACTGGTGTATCCTGGGAAGCTGCACCCTGAGCCCACACTGAGCTCAGCACTGAACGTTCCTGCGTGCTGAGCATGCGTGGAACACATGTCGCTCACCCCGTAGAGGGACTCATTGTACCAAACAGCAGACAGCAGTACATACTACAGCTTATTAAGAGGTTATCACATACTGCCACGGGCCACGTCCTGGCACGTCTGATTCCTTTTATATGGGACAGCACCGTCAAGGCGCCAGGGCTCTGCTCCCTTTTCTGGCTGGATAATATTCTGAAAGGGCACACCTTTTGCTCCTGCACGGACCCACCCTGGACATGATGGCTGGGATGAGTTTGCCAGCTGGGCTCTAACTGTGCTTACTTCATACCTGTGATCTGTATGAAGCTACCCGTGAAGCGGTCACTGTTATGAAGCCACAGAGTAGGCCTCTGAGACTCAGAGAGCTGAAATGACTTGTCCCCAGGGTTATTAAGCCAAAAAGTGGCAGATGCAGGACCCCCCCACCCCTACAGCAATAATGACTGTGGCCCCCTGGGACCATTAGGATTGCCTTCTAAATAATCACACCTGCCCCCCTCCCTGACTTAAGTCAAAATCTCTATAACTGTCACTCTTAGCTAGGAGTGACTTTGTGCCCCCCTCCCCTGTTCTCCAGAGGACACCAGCCATGTGTGCACACATTTTGGGGTATCATAGCTTGTAGGTGGGGTACTACTGGCATGCAGTGGGAAGAGACCAGAGATTTGGGGTGCTGTTGAATGTTCTAGTAGTGCACAGATTGAAGCCCCACAGTAAAGAAGGATCAGGCCCCAGGTTGGAGACAATGAAGCCGAGAATCTTCATTACCGAAGTGCAGTGGAATGCCGGGCTGATTTTTTTGCTTAGCATCTCTGTCAGCCTGCACACGTGTGTGCAGAGGGCCTGGGGAGGAGCCAGAAGCTTGCCTTTCCCCTTCGATCCCTTTCAGAAGGCTTGGTCACACCTTGGCTGTGACACTGAGGCCTCCAGGAAGCTGACTTGCTCTCTTCATGTTTTTTTTTTTGGTAACCCCCCCCCCCCTTTGGAGAGAAGGAGGTAGCATTGCAGATGTGTCCAGGTGGTTGCTGCTGCCTGCAGGAGACCTGGAGCTCTGCAGAGAAGAGGCTGCCCCAAATGGTGTGTTTGCGCAGTGCATGGTGATTCATGGCAAGGCCCCCACCCCTCAGAGAGCTCACCCAGCCTGGCCCTGGCCTGGCTGGCTGCAAGCCCTTGGCTGGCCGCCCCAGTAGCAATGACTCAGGTTTTCCACCTGTAAAATGGGAGGGGTGGCTCTTGCTGGCATCCCCAGGGCCAGCAGCCCCTACCACGTCCCTCCACCCCTACTCCATCAAAGGCAAGGCTGAGAAGCCACCTCTGTAGCTGCTGTTTTCACTGCTAGTAAACTGGCCTTAACAAAAGCTCAATTAGAAAGTCAAGGGGCTTCCACACTGAAAGACAGGCTTAACAGCTCACCCACGTGGGAGGAATTAGCAGTTTTATCCCGGGCTTCTCAACATGTCCCAGAGCCCACAGGCGGCGGGGTGCGGTATTGCTCCTGAGTACCAAGCCAGGCATCAGGACCATGGGGCTGAGCTGGGCAAGTCACTAGGAAATGGGTGGAAGCCTTGGAAGTCCCTAAGTGCACCTGCTACTCAGTGAGGCTCCCCAGCCCTGGCAACAGGAAGAGGGTGATCTGTACTCGAACATGGAAGGAAATGGTTAAGTTTGGGCCTCACAAGGCTGCTGCTCAGGCTCCCGACTAGCTCCCGGCTCCGGATGGGGAGGGGATGGGGAGGTCCAGGGGCTCTGGCATGGGAAGACCTGGCCTTCTGCCCAGCCTGAAACTCTAGGACAAGAGCCAGAAGCTCAAGCTGACTCACCAGGAAGGCAGGGCTGTGGAGAGAGGGAGGGGCCTAAGGGAGTAGGAGGGACCTGGCTGCAGCTAGAGTTCCTTTGTCACCTGGCTGGTGCTACACCTGCCTCTATTCATTGTCTCCTGTATCCTGCCTTCCACACAGGGCTGAGGGGGGCTCCTGGGCCTGGGCTGCTGAGAAGGGTTCCCATCTCAGCCAGGTGGGGACTGGTCCATCACTGAATGAGAAACTCTGTGCTCACGTCCTCCGAAGGCTGCTGGGAGCACTTTAGCATATTGTACTGGCAGAGAGCTTAGCACCCGCCTGTCCTGCCCGCCTGTCATTCGCTGTGGATAGAGATGAGCCGAAATAGGAAAGACCTGCCTGCCCGAACTCAGACACCTCTGGCACCTCTGTCCTGGGGCTGAGGAGAGCTCTTGAAGGGTCTCTGAAAGTGAGCCTTTCTCCAGAGAAGGACTCAACAGGAGGGAGCAGCGGAGGAAGTGGGGTGGGGGACAAAGGAGGAGGAGTGTGGCCCAGAGAGAACCTACCAGAGGAGGCCAGGCTGAGTGGGACCTGAGGTCATGAGGAAGGAGCTGCCCACATAGGGAGGGGAGCAGAGCTCAGGGAAGCATAGAGCTCAAAGGCGGGAGCATGCCTCAGAGGTAGCAAGGGGGGTACCACCGTACTTACCCAGCACGTCTGAGGACCTGGGTTCTACCCTCAGCACTGCAAAATACACACATGCATGTACACACTGTCTGTCGTCTGTCTATCAGAGAGAAAGACAGGGGAAATAGAAGGTTCTAGAAGTTCCAGAAACATGGTGGGAACATAGTGATGAAGGGGGACCTCTGGGAAAGGAAGCCACGAGGTCAGCTCCTGGAGTCTACAGCTTTCAGTAAGAATCGCCCACAGACTTCATCTGGCCGTGCACTCAGCTCACACCGGGCTGTGAGTCTGGGCTGAGAAGTGGCAGGAAGAAGCAGCTTGAGCAGTGGGGATCATGATGAGTGGGTGGGCTGGGCCTCTCCCTGCACAGAGGAGAAGGAAGACCCGGTTTGTCTGGCTCCTACCTCTCCTGCAGGGAAGGCAGCCTGGATTCCTGCAAATAGTGCTCTGTGACAGCAAACTGGCTAAGTGGCGTGTGGTTCTTTCAGGGATGTGAAGTTTGGAGGTCCCTACTTGGGACTTCATTCCCGCCCTCTCGCCGCGTCTCTGGAGCAGATTTCTCTAGGTCACCATGTTTCTTTTCTTCTTGCCCTCAGCTCAGCGCTCTGCCCATGAGCTGCCCATGGTGGAGAGACAAGACGTGGACAGCTGCCTGGTCTACGGGGGCCAGCAGATGATCCTCACGGGCCAGAACTTCACTGCTGAGTCCAAGGTGGTGTTCATGGAGAAGACCACAGGTCAGTCGCTTTCTCTTGCTTCTCTGAGCCAGACGGAACTGAGCCTCGCACCTGGGTTCTACCCTCAGCACTGCAAAATACACACATGCATGAACTGAGCCTCGCACCTGGGTTCTACCCTCAGCACTGCAAAATACACACATGCATGTACACACACTCAGGCTGTTGTGTAACTTCCCGTTCTTCTGGCTCACTCCCCAGTGACCCACAGCCTCACAGGTCACCGTGGATGTGGGTGACATGCTTGGATTGGTCCTTGGATGTTTCCGTGGAGACTAAACTTGTCGCCTTTCATCGACCTTGTTTTTGTTTTGATATCGTTTCTGCACATGGGCAAACATTTTTAAAAATACCTTTTCCTATTTCTCAGAAGAGAAACTGAGTGTGTTGCTGCTTTGAGGCCGGTGTTGGGGTGCCTACGTCACTGTGAAGTGGGCACTCCTGTCACTGAGGTTTGCTGCCCAGGAGAAGCAGCGTGGGAAGAGGCTGAGCTAGAACATGAGCTCCCTTTTGGAAATGTGAGCGTTGGGTCTGATGAACTCTGACCTCCTTAGACAAACCAGGGTCTCGTCTATTGAAGGCAAGGTATCTAGGAGTGTACAGACATGAGGCCTAGACGGAGCAGCAGAGCCTGGCTAAGGGTAGCACGGAGGTCTCTGTTGGACTCTTGTGACTAGATGACTCACAGGATAGCCTCCAGAGGGAAAGGGAGAGCAGCAAGCAAATGCAGGAAGCCCCATTGCGGTCACAGCAGCAGGAGGGGACAGCAGAGCAAATTCTGTGAAAACTTGAGGTCTGAGCGATGGATGCACCCAGGTGGGGTAGGAGGGGGAAAGTAAAAGTGACAACATAGCCTGTCCCCAGGTGGGAGGGGCTTAGGATCATGTCCTTTCCCAGACACAGTTGACCCCAATCCTGGGTAAGAGTGGTGGGGCCTTCTGTGAGCGGAGTGTGTTCCCAGAATCCCTCACTCCCCACCTGGTGCTCTGAGCTCAGCTCTAGTCCCGAGGACTGAAACACTTGCAGTCATTGTCCAGTGTGTCCCGACAGGCAGAATTGACCCTGGTGCAAATCGGCAACATGCAGAGGTCACTGAGAAAGGTGGAGAAAGAACAGACGTGAGTGTTAGGGAGTCTCCGAGCCGGGTAAACAACCAGCTGCCTGTCACAAACCCGTGTGCCCCACTGGAGAACTCCTACAGAGCAGGGAGAGGCAGGGGCGGGGCTGACCCACTCCCTGCAGGACTCTGCTGGCCAAGTCTCTCTGCTTACACGGACACAGTTTTAAGTCTGTATTTTCACTCGTGCTTTTTTGCTGCGTGAACATCTGTGCCGATGCTTCCTGGTCTCTCAGCAGCTGGCTGTAAACAAGCGTGGCTCATCCTACCGTAGGGTCTCACAGTGGGCTATCAGCCCATTTCATTTTTATCCATTTCCTTCTTACTGAGTCCAGGTAGAGACGTGGTTCTAATTGGTCTGGGCCTGAAGGTTAGTTTCTTTTCCCACTGCAGCGGTGACTACCTTAGCAAAAACGGCCAAAGGAAGGGTCTGCTTTGGCTCGCGGTTCATGGGTCCAGCCCATCGCGCGCAGTGGTTACACTGCATCTACAGTTGGGGGCATCTTGAGGCTGGTGTTCAGTTCCGTCCTCTTAATTTAATCAGGCAGTTAGGGTGGGTCTCCTGCCTCATTTAACCTCGTCTAGATCATCCCTCACAGACACCCCTGGAGGCTTGCCTCTTAGTCGGTTCTAGATCTTCTCAAGCAGACAATATTAACCATCCCAGCGTGGTGAGGTAATCGGCTGCCCTAGTGGATGTGGGTAACAGGAACTGTTAATGCCCAGGTAACAGCACGTTCTCTGGGTTGGATGCAGGTCCAGGATCAGGATGCTATCCTTGCCCGCTGTGAATATTGACAAGACGAATGTGGCTTTAGAGCACCATGGGGGAACAGCCAATAAGATCCAAACGTTTGGTTACTCATGTCCAAGGTGACAGAGCCTCTGTGTTGACAGGAACATCTAAGAAAGGATGGGATGATGGATCCTACTGATTCCCTGCTGCTGGGGACTGCCAGCGAGTTCCGGGTGTCTGGGTCAATAGTTTTGATGAACTGCTTCCTGAGTGGATGAGAGAGTGCTGAGGGAGTGGCATTGGCTATAATCAGACTTTTCATGGACCACCAGCTCCCAAATAGTGACACTGAGACTTCTTATTAATTATGAAAACTTAGCCATATCTTAGGCTTGTTCCCAACTAGCTCTTATAACTTAAATTAACCCATTTATATTGGTCTACGTTCTGCCATGTGGCTCATTACCTCTCCTTTATGCTGTATATCCCACTTCCTCCGTATCTGGCTGGCAAATCTCCAGCCTCTGAGATTCCACCCCCACCCTCCTGGTCCTCTTTCTCCCCAGAAGTCCCACAGCCTCTCCGACCTAGCTATTGGGTGCTCAGCTCTTTAGTAAACCAATCAGAAGTTGCTTTGGCAGAGACACATCTCCACCATGTAGAAAAGATTATCCCACAACAGTTGGCTGATGCATAGCTCTCTTGGTTTCCTGAGCCATCCACACCTTGACCTCACCATGAGAAGCATTTGGCCTTGGAAAGTCAAGTTGAACCAATGGGAACCATCATAATGGCACATTCCCCGTATAACTCGGCATGCTGACTTATTATTATGCCATTATTAATAAATTGGCGATCAAAGTCAGGGCTGAGTAAACCACTCTGGCCTGTGGTTTGGCCTCCCTCTGTAAACTGGCATATCAGCCCTGCCCCTGGAGTAGGGGGTTCACATGGGAGTTCTGTGCCCTGAGAGCACAGCTTGTGGTCATCGGACACCTGTGGTTGTCTTTGTGGCCTTCCAGCCTCCCCAGAGCTCTGGCCACAGGCCTTGTGTAAGGCACATGTTGTCTGTGTGTGAGTTTGGATTGGACAAGCTTAGGAGTGGGGGTGCAGCTGTCAGCTGCATGGTCCCAAGCCCGGGCTTTGAGGTTAAACTGTGTGATGGTTACTTTTTAGTGCCACCTTGTCGCAGCCTGGAATCACCTGGGAAGAGAGGTGGTTTGTTTTGTTTTTGTTTTTTAAAGGCGGCATTTCTCTGTGTAGCCCTAGCTGTCCTGGAACTCGTTTTGTAGACCAGGCTGGCCTTGAGCTCAGAGGTCCACTTGTGTCTGCCTCCTGAGACCTGGGATTAAAGGATTGCACCACCACCATCTGGCAGGAAGAGAGTTTTCATGAGGAATTGTCTAGATGGGGCTGACTGATCCTGCTGTGGGAGGATACAGTCATTATGGGTGGCACCATCCCTTAGGCACAGGAGTGAAGAAAAAACAAGCAAACAGGCAGCATGGCTGCATTTATTTCTCTCTGTTCTTGATTATGGATGCTGGGCCACCAGTTGTCTCCGGCTCCAGCCTCTGTGACCTCCATGAAATGACGGGCTCTGATCCACGATTGGACGCTGAGTAAACCACTCTTTCCTTTCGTTACTACACGTTGTAAGGGAAGAACAAAGATGAGCTCACCCAGAGAGCCAGGAGATGTTCAGAAGCAACAGCCCTCGTGCTGAGCCAAGCTCTGGTCTAAGCGTTTGCCTAGGTTAGCCGATCTGATTCCCATGATAACCCTCCATGTAGAACTACTCTTCCCCGAGTTCTACAGTGAGACTAAACACAGAGGCATTAGATGACATGAAAAGATCACACAGTTGGTTCTTGGTAGTGTAAGACTTACATTCAGGCAGTGTGGCTCCAAGGTCTAGAAAAGGTCAGACCTGGGATGATCTGCTCTAAAGATCCCTTCTCTCCTCAAAATATGGACTTGAACCCAGTCATAGTGATGGAGAACCCTGAGTTCTGCTGAGCTGTTGGCACAGTTTCTATTTCATTGCTGAGACTCTTACACACCAACTTCAGGACATCAGGCACCAGTGAGACACCCTGAGTATCCCCCAAGAAGTAGGCTTCCCTGAGAGGGGTGTGTGGCTCCCCTCATCTCTGATGGGGGGACCTTGATAATTTGCAAGGTGCAGAGCCTGCTCTTTTGACCCCGGGGCTCACCTCCTGCAAGGGAGATCCATGTAACTGGAGTTGGTTTTTCCAAAACCGGTCCTGTGTCCATCTCCATGGACACTTGGCCAGTAGGCGCTGCACACAGGGTGGAGTAGCTGAAGTTTTCCAAGGCAGGGGAATCCCAGCTGCTGTTCTCATTAGGAAAGGTGACAGCGCTGGGCTAATCTTAGCAGCAGAGTTTGGTCATCGGCACCGGGAGCCTCAGCATGCTTTTTATAGCTGTCCGCTAAAACGGGCTTGGCACTTTCCACTCCATCAAGAGGACAAGCTGAGGAGGTGGAAAAACGGTGAGGAGAGGGGCCGCGGGGTGCCTGAGCTAGGAGAGCCCCGTGTTTTGGAAAGTGTGGTCCTATTTATAGCGGCAGTCATAATAAGGATTATTATGAGTTTCGGTCCTATTTTTAATTCTTCATAGGACTTGCAGGGACCCGTGAGACTCTACATTTGCCCATCCCTCTGATCTCAGCTGATCCTCTCTTGCTGGTTCCCCTGGCTGCAGAGAATCCCTCTTCATTCTGTCTTTGGATGCTCCATGCCCTTTCATGCCCCAGGACCTTGGCATGTGCTGTTGGCTTTGGAACATTCTTCCCTTGTTCCTTCACACATGGTGTCTCCTACTACATAGAAGTCACTTTCCTTGAGAGGTGTTTTTTTCTTAAACCTTCATGGTTCAACCCCTAACCTGGTGTCATCTTGTCCCACTGACATGCTTGGTTCTCCAGGTGGCACTCAGCGATTCCTTTGCCTGTCTGCTGTCTCTGGCCACTGGTTCCCACCTTAGACTGATGCTGATGGTTGCTTTGGAGCAGGGCCTCTCTGTTTGCTGCTGCACTCTCGACTTTGAGAACAGTCTCTGTGCAGTGTGTGTGTGTGTGTGTGTGTGTGTGTGTGTGTGTGTGTGTGTGATGCTGAAGGAAAG